TTTTTCTACTTCAAAGTTTTTTTTCTCTTAATTAATTGGCCTCTCAGAGTTGGTAAGACAACTCCCACCTGTTTATGCTCTCTGTATGTGTGTATATATATCTCCTCAATATATGTTCCATTCTATATGCATCCGAAGAAGTGGGCTGTAGTCCACGAAAGCTTATGCTCTAATAAATTTGTTAGTCTCTAAGGTGCCACAAGTACTCCTGTTCTTCTTTTTGAGAAAAGTTAAGAAATTTGCTCTGGGTCACAGTGAGTCAATGGCATAGCTGGAAATAGACTAACTCCCAGTCTTTGATCTAACCACTAGACAATGCTTTCTTCACCTTAACTACAGAGGGTTTTTTAATCATCTACCCCACTCACCTTGTGGTCACCTGTCAGGCAGTCTATCTCAACCTCGGAGCAAGCAACCCCATAAGAGAAATAATTGAAAGGATGTCCTTTATTTTCCTCATAGTCATACCAAAGGCCAGGAATTCTTAACAGAAAGAAAACAAAACATTTCTGATTGCATGAACAGCCAAAATAAATAAGTTATCACTGACCCATTTTGGTCTTCATAAGATTTTATTTTCTTATACTTCACCCATTTTTCCCTCTGTGTAGACTAGATACGCAGAAAGTAAAAAAAATAAAGAAATCCGAGGCTCTCCTGCACTTCATAAACGTAGTAAGACTCCGTGAAGGATTTTTTATCAATCAGTTGTTTCTCTGGAACATACACATTTATAATGCCCACATACAATCCCAATCCCAAGAGTCCAATATTAAATACTTTATGCAAGGCATACATTTGGGCATGTCCCAGAACTAGTTAAATTCTGTGCTGACATGAAATGGAGCCAGAGAATAAGACTGAGTTGTGGAGCGATTCATTTTTTGGAAGTAGTTCACAGCAAATCCTGTGTTATGCAGCTGTGACTGTTTATGTAAATACTGGTGTTTTGTTAAACACCAAGGAAGCCACTTGGCTCGGAGACAAATGCATTTCAAAGATGCAATGGAAACTGGCTCATATCATACATTTCAGTCCCATAGGATCTATTCTTAATATCAAGTTTAATGTTTTGTGATGAGTCCTATGCCTTTTATAATGATGGGGTTGAGTTTGCCTCTGACAGTAAGGCTGATTGATGGGAGAAATGTTTCATTTTAGAGCTACACAAGAACCAGCATAAAAAAGAAAAAGCATGTTTTTAAAATGTGAAAATGAAATTGAAAACAATGGGATCAGCTCATGCACTGGAGGCCAGAATGTGGCTTTATTTAATTGACTGCTTCGTCTAGTACCATTCTGAAAGCAACAATGATCCCTTTGGAGGTTTTCCTAAGGGGCAAATCGTGAACCCTTCTCCACTGGGCATGGAAAACCTAAAAGGCAGTGAAAATCCACCTTGTTCTAATCTTAAGGGAAGGCAGAAAGCTGTGAGCCAATTGCCTTGCAGACCCCTGGGTCAGATTCACTTACATCTCTTTAAATCTGAACTAATTCCACTGAAGTCAACAGAGTTACATCAGGTTTATAATCGTGAACATGAGAACTGAATGTGGCCCCACACTTGTCTCAGAACTGTGCTCCACTAATGACTCATCTTCCCTAGCTCAGGAGCATGCTTGAGAGTAGAGGTGTGGCTGATGGATGGGCTGCTACAAGCATCCCTCAGCTGACTCTCACCACATAGGCCAGGACATGCAACTGCTGAGAGGGCTATTGCAGCCTTCACCAGCCATAATAGCTGCAGAACAGCTTCATGGCCTGAGAGGAGAGTAATTATCCACACAATGATCATCATGGAACGCTCCTGCACATAGACTATGTGGCTAGGGAAAAGTATTACTGCACTACCCCAGCTTTAATACTCACTCACCTATAAAATCCTGTGGCTGACAGGCTAACACTGTTAACGTAGGCTGCTCCCACCTGATAAAGTAAGCAGGTTTTTAAAATGTTAGTATTATTAAACTAATTCTTGTACAATAACCTTCTGCGAATGCATTCTGAGGAAGCCCGGGGCCCACCTACTCAATAGGGGATGACAGTCACAGTAGAGCAGAGTGAATAATTGATTTTTGGGAGCCAAACATCCTGCAATTTCTTGATTTTTTCATCTTCCTTGAAAGGTCTGCACCATGGTAAAAATATCCCCAAGCACAGGAGACTTGGAACTTGGAATCTGGCTGGGCGATTAACACATGGAGGTATTTCAACTTGAGTAGTCCTTGACAATACAATACAAGGTGTGCCCATTCTTTAGATGTTGGAGTAAGGAAACTATTGTCCCCACTGAGGATGGTTGAAAAGTGTGCTGGAAGTTTCTTACAGAGAAGTCTTCTTTTTTTCCCCACAGAACCACTTTGCTGTGAGCAGAGATTTCATTCTCATCAGGACTGCAATATGACCATTTAGCTACAATGGGACCATTTGGGATTTTTCTCTTAACTTCATTAGAGATCAGACTTCAGTACACCCAAATTAATTATAAGCAGGTTCCTGTGTGGGAAATCTTCCTTGTAAAACCACAAGTGGAAGCTAGATGTCACCCCTTTGGAGTTCACCCCTCTCAAGTATCCTCTTCCTCCCAAGCTAAGTTGCTGCTATACTGTCTATCCTAGAGCCTCCTGGAACCTTTCCTTCAGGATGAGCAAGGATGGCAGATTTGTCTACATGCTTGATTTACCAACAAAATAATTCTCCGAACAGCCCACATCTAATCGGTACCAGGTATAAACAACTTACCCAGTCCTTCCAGGATCCTTCGGGGTTTGAACATTTGAATGGCTCTAGCCTTTCCAAAATAGTCTGACACGCTTTCTAAAAAACAAAACAAAATAAAGAGCAACACTTTTTAAAGTAGCCCTTGAAAATATGAGCTTATTACGCAATTGTTCACAGTTACTCTCTGCCTAAATCAATGTTGTCCTTAGGACACTGACGTATCATTAAATGGACAAAGTTCAGTAACTGGGAGAGCTGATCAGAAGGGCGTAGTTTAACTGGGAAATAAAAAGATTCTAAAGCTGATTGGTTATGCTTATGGTAAAGGGAGATCCCAGTGATGGCACATAGCCGGGCCAGTTCTAAGGGTGGGAAAGCAGGGCGGCCGTCCGGGGCACCAGCTTGCAGGGGACACTGTACTGTAGTGGCCTGCCATTTTGGCTCAGCTCTGATTGGCTGGCTGTGGTGATTTTGTTATGTTTTTTGGCTCAGCCATTGTGGTCAGGGGTGCCAAAAATGTTTTCCATCCTGACAGGCAAAATGGTTCAGGCCACTCCTGGTACAGGGTCTTGTGAGTCATGACACACACTATTGGATGGATTCTAGTTTATAAAGAAAACTTGGCCTATTTTAACCCCATCCGGCCACTTGAAAATATCTAGCAAGGCGAGCTTGTAGCAACATGGAAATAATTCACCATGCCTTCGTGCAATTCCCTGTCCCATGCAGCATGCCTGTAGATTTGATGCCAATTCCAACTGTAGTCCCCAACCCATCTGCATGTTAACAGTGTGCCAGGCTTGCGGTTAACACCACAGACATTACTAGGAAGCTATTCCTTTAAATGGCTGCCTTTCTTCCATTTACTAATTGGCAATAGACTGAACATGAGAATTTCATAAAAACCTTGAAAGAAATATGGTCATTCATTATCTGCTGCAGCCTAATAATTGTGGCCATCACAAGGAATTATGAGGTATCACGTGCTTAATATTTCCTTTTCGAGGACATTGGGCTCCCATAGCTTTTTAAAGAAACATGTAGACAGCATGTTTTTCTATTCTGGAACCCTCGCCTATCAGATAAAGGTTTGAGTTACTCAGTTGCCTTACGAGGACAGCCATCCCATTGATGTCTGCGCTGACAGAAGCGGCTGTTGGAGAGGTATTTGGGACCGTGTTAGTGCTGGTCTCGCTGATGTGAATGCTGGTGGTGGGGATTCCCAGAGTTTTGCTGGCAATCTGCAGAGCAACAAAAAATGACTGTCTAGTGTACATATTTGTGAGGCATGCCATTCCCTATCCACAATATCCATGCTGCAACCTTCTCTTCTCTCCCATCCCAAATTTCACCTCTTTTGGTTGTTTAGTTGCTGGAGTTAGCTCTAGGCTTGTCATGGTCAAGCCTGAGAATTTGTGTGTTTGTCAAATATCCTTACAACCATTTCATTATTCAGGCATTTTTTTTCTCCAGCCCAAGATTCAACAACTGTAGAAGATAGAAAGGAAAAAGCCCCAGTACATCACCCAATCCATCTTCTTGCCAATGCAAGAAGTTTTGTCACATCTAGCTTTAAATGCCTCCAAACAATGGGGGGGCATATGCTACCTGTACATATAAAATATGGAGCAATATATGCAGCAAATGCCCTTTAATTGCTATAACATTTATTGCGGTTACTGTTTCTGTAACCTTCCAGAATTTAAGTCCATCCTAGGTATGGGCACTCCTGAGCTCTTACTGCAATTTTCCATTAGCACTGCAAATTTCAAACTCAAAAACATTACAATCTACTTGGCACTCTAACTGTTTAAATGAGCCATTGTGCAAAAGCTTCTGGTTATCAGAAGATGATGCTTGCTGCAATACTGTCCTGCATGAATAGGTCACAATGACTTCCAGATAACTGGCTTTATATATGTCATGTAGCATCACAGACCAGGTTATGGGAAATCATGGTGCGAAGGAGGGATGGAAGAGCCCAGAAGTTTGGGGTAAAAGGTTTCTGAACATCTCTCTCTTTGACGTGAAATAAAATCTTAACATGTTCTACGAGTCTTAGGGTGAAATCTTGGCTCCACTGAAGTCCGTGAGAGTTTTGCCATTGACTTCGATGGAGAGAGGATTTTACAAACAGAATTCTAGAATCCATTAAGTTATAAAATGTTCTGAATTATGGGTTTCAGATTCCCCCATTTCTACCAAAGCCTTTTAAAAATAATTAAGCTAGATTCTAACCTTGCTTATCCTAATGTAAATCTAGAGCAGGGATCGGCAACCTTTGGCACGCGGCCCGTCAGGGAAAGCCACTGGTGGGCCGAGATGGTTTGTTTACCTGCAGTGTCCGCAGGTTCAGCTGAGCACAGCTCCCACTGGTCGTGGGTTGCCGTTCCAGGCCAATGGGGGCTGCGGGAAGCGGTGGCCAGCAAATCCCTTGACCCGCTCTACTTCCCGCAGCCCCCATTGGCCTGGAACGGCAACCCACGACCAGTGGGAGCTGTGCTCCGCGGAACCTGCGGACACTGCAGCGCACCAAACCATAT